ATCAACGAGTATGCCACATACCTCTCTCAAGTGGAAAAGAAATCAACATATTTCTCAACTATGTCATGGGGTAGGAGAATTACGTTTCAACTAGGGATGACTCATGCCTAATTCTCTCATGGGAGAAAAGGAACCTAATTGTAGACTATCTAAAGTTGAAGCAATCCTAAGAGGAGCTAGCCTAAGGATACATACTAAGTGTTAGTCTAAGGGGAATAATCTAAGTGTGTACATCATAAGGTAATCAACCTAAAGGGGAAATAAGGACCAAGCAAAGAAGTAAGAAGAAGAAGAGAGAAATGCAAAGGAGATGCAATGCATATGACAATATAGTCAACCAAAAGTTCTTCCCTTGGATTCACAACAGAGGCAACCACAATATCAGAGGAAAATAGATGAGGGACATCAAATGTAAAAGCCGAAGATCAATGATGAATATCAACATGTAAAATAAAACATCACATCATGAATCAAGAATGCATCATGCTAAGTACAAGTGAGAAACAAGTATGCAAAACACCTAATGATAGGGAATCCTAAACAGACATCAAAAGTCAAAGCATCCAAACAAAATGGACAAGGATGAAATGAGAATAAATAATGCCAGTAGATACATCACATCATGTTCAACTCATATGAATATTAAAAGAGGAGCAAAAGCACACAAGACCTACATCACACCAATACTCAAACAATTGCCCACACATAACTCATACAAAACACACTTCAAAAGATTAGCCATGTGGAACTAGGGTTAGAAACCAAGTAGGGGAAGTAAAATAATCATGAACATTACCTTAGACATCAACTCATGAATACTAAGGAGAAACAACAAGAATCAAATCCAAGGCATGTATCAAAACTAAGAAAGTTTACATCACGGTCATCCTTAAAGGAAATCATGTGTTCAAGTAAGGCACAAAGCATAAAGGTTCAAGTAAGGCATACCATAAAATCAAGGTCAGAACCACACTCAAATGTATTATATCACATTCGTTTAAAAAATATCAAGCAAATTCAACAAGTATCATGCTCAAAAGGTTCAGCAAACACCATTCACATTACCCAAAATAAGAACAAAGATGATCATGTGAAGGAAATAATGAGAAGAGATCAAACAATGATCAACATAACATGAAAAAAAAATCTCAAACATGCTATTAGAATCACACAATAAACCATAAGCATCCATTAAGGTCATACAAGAAAGAACTTTGAGAAACTAGGTCAAGAACACCAAAGGAGTAAGCTCAAAACATCATTATCTTAGGAATTCAACCAAAAATAGGAAAATAAACAAATGATAATGAAATCAAAGTCATGATCAAGTCAAGACAACAGAGAATCACATTCAATAAGCATTTCAAACTCCAATCAAGCACAAGTGATCAAAAAGATTATAAACTATGTTAGATATCAAGCATGTTCAATCCAAAACCAAGCTATAATTAGGCATCAATCAATCATAATGAAATGGCCTAATAAATCCCAACAAGAGACTCTAACTCATAATATTTCAATTAAGAATAAGAGATAGGAACAAACCCTAAATGGTTGCACAAGTGCATCCTTAACCAATCCATAAAGTTCAATCACATGCAAGCAATGCATCACTCAAGAAAAATAATTAAAAGGATTCAAAAATTATGGAAAAATGGTCATGATATCAAGAGGGCAGTGGATCAATATGCTCTAAAATAGTGCCTAAGAATGTGTACAAAAGATGCTCAAACCATCTCAAACATTAGGCAAACACACAATTCAATGATCAAACAAGTTAGGCATCAAGAAGCTTCTCAAACAAAAACCAAAATGAGTGACCAAGGCATTAAATGAACATTAAAATGCCCTACATAAATGTTCCTAAATGTGTGAAATAGGATGGATCAAGAATCAAATGGGAAGGACATGAATCAAAACATTAATTCCAAAACTAGGTCACATAGACAAATCACACAATTAAATCAAAATAAAATATAAAAAATAAATGAAAATAAAAATAGAAAAATATGAAAAATTAAATAAGACTTCAAAATATTTAAAAACATATTTTTTTGGAATTTTATAATATTTGGAGCTATTAAAATAAAATCAAAATATAAAATATATATAAAAAATAAAAATAAAAGAAAAAGAGTGGAAGGGAGGTGCATTAGCAAATTCATACTGCAAAGGAAACAAGTTAAACATGCTACTGGGCCTAAAAGAAGGTGTGCAAATATCATAAATAAGAGGCCCATGGTCCAGACAAACCAACAAACACTCAGAAAAAATGAAATGTTGCGTTTCATTAAAGGATGTGGCATACCACATCACTTTTCAACGCACACGCGTGCAAGGTTAAATGACACATCATTGCCACCTCAGATACACACCTTAGACCCCGGAGCCCTAGATTCGGTCGTCTTCTCTGGCTAGACACGCCAGAGTTTTCTGCAAAACTCCATAAAAATTAAAACCCAATACATGAATTTGAAGAGAATTTCATGAGGAACAAGAATATGGCCTTAGATTTTCAAAAGGTACCTATAACATTATTAAATCAGTGCACACAATTTTGATACACAAACTAAGAATTGATTAAACAAACACAACAAGCATTCAAACATGGGTTACACATGGTAGGGCTTCAGATTCAACCAATATGAACTTGCATCTGTGCCTAAAATGAGAGATAATGTAAAGCTTTTTGTAAAGCTTAGATGATGAAGAAAAACTCCTATGTTGAAATCATTTTGAGGAAAGGTTTGGATCCATGTGAACTTTGTCTTAGAAGTTGGTTACCTTTGATGATTCTAAGCCTTTTCAACTTTGAGACACCAACTTGAAAACATCATAACTTGAGATGTGTAAATCCAATAGAGGGGTTCTTTATATCAAAAGAAAACTTAGAAAAAGTTCTACAACTTTCATGTTGATGGAAAAATGAGATGGAGCTTGTATCATGATGAAACTTGCCATGGAAGTTAGGTGCTAAAAGAGGGAATTTTACACTTAGAAATATTTCTAAAAACCCTAATTTAGCAACATCTCCTAATTTTATGAATCCCCTTGATTCTTCTTGATTAAACTTCACCACAACACTTGTAATGACTTGAAATGGCATCTCATGACCTGAATGACCAAAAGTCAAGCTTTGAACTTCTTCAGGACCACAATTGACTTTTCTTTGACCATATGAAAATCTTGATCATTCCTTTACTCAAATGAATCTCTAAGAGACTTTATAATGATTCATGAGACACATAAGAATCTTGAGATGCATAATGATCCAAATGAACAAGGTTTGCCTCAAGAATCAACTATAAGATGTATCTAGTCAGAAAACCCTAGCCTTAGTGCCACTAGTAGTTTGATCAACTGCATAACCTTGTAAACCTAATCTAGATGAACACATGATCTTGTTGATGTCTTGGAGTATATGAATCCTTAGCTTTAAATCATGTCTTGATCAAAAAGTCAAAGGTACAATTAACCTTGGTTGAAAAATCCTAGTTCTTGATTAGGTGCAATTAAATCTTTGAAGCATTTGATGTGAGGCCATTTGGTCTTGAATTTTAATGGAGGGAGATCTCTTGAGGATATGAGAGCTTGATGAGTTGAAGATCTCTCGAGATTTGACAGGTCAACCCCTTAAACTCCTTGGAATGGACCCTAATTTACAAATGAACAAAAGCAAACAAAATAAAGCTAGATAATTAGTTAGTCATGTATGGATGATTGGCCTACATGATGTAAGAGGAGGTGAAATCTTTAGGTTAAAAATTAGGTTGTGACATGTAGATGATATTATAATTGCAGAAAAATGTCTAACCGAATTGACAAGATTAAATCATTACTACCTCATAATTTTAAAATAAAAAACTTAGCCATATAAAATACTTTCTTGGCCTATTAGTAGCTCACTCCAAACAAGACATCTCATTATGCCAAAGAAATTACTACTTAGATATCTTGTCTGACACATACCACTTTGGTTTTAAGCCAGTTAACACCACTGCAGATCCCTTAATCAAACTTTACCATGATTGCAATTCTGCATTCAATGATGTACATGTTTATATAAGACTGATTGGACGATTATTCTACTTCACCACCAGAAGATCAGACATTACATTCATAACTCAACATTTAAGCCAATTTCTCACCAAGCCAACCACTACTCATTTCAATGCAGTTCCAAGAACACTCGAATATTTGAAATAATACCCTAATTGAGGCTTATTTTTTCCAAAAGATTCATCCTTACATCTATTGGCTTCTCAGATGCTAACTGGGCATGGTGTGTAGAAAGTAAAAGATCCATCTCATGTCAATGCTTTTTCTTAGACAAATCCTTAATATCTTGGAGCACAAAAGTACAATTGACAGACTCTAAATCCTCTATAGAGTACAAATATCATGCTTTGGATGTAGCAACTTGTGAATTACAATGACTTGTGTATCTTCTACGAAACATCAAAGTCTCATGTTCCAAACTTCTTGTACTTTACTATGACAATCTTAGTGTCATACACATATAAGAGTAAATTCAGTGTTCCATCAACATACCAAACATCAATCAATTATCATCTTATTTGAGAAAAACTCCAAGTTGACATGCTTAAGCTGATGCTCCCTCCAAAAATCATCTTACATATTTTTTTCTTCACTAAACCACTCTTTTCTCAACCACTTCATCTTCTCTTATCTAAATTGAATATGATAAATATTTATTCTCCAATTTGTGAAGATATCACAGAAAAACATAGAAGAGTTAATTACAAATGTTAGTTTCGATAATAATTAACTTGTATCATAAGTGTTTATCTTATCTTATGATTGCATTGATAGGCTAACATGAGCTTCTGATGAAGCTTTTATGAAAATACATTATCTCCCATAGATAAATGAATTGAAAAATTGTGAGATTAAATATATTTAATAGTTGTATTGCTTAGTCACAATTACGAGTTTGATATAATAAAGTTACTTCTGCGCTCTTTGGAAGAAAGCAAACAATGTATTGGCTTAAACGCACCTTCTCCAAGAGTTCCACAAATCCAAACACTCCAACAGAATCCAATTCCACACAACAATCACAAGAACATGAACATCATGGGATTACCGAGGAACTCATAAACCTCGTCAAATCATTCACCATTGACACCTTCAAAAATTTCCCTCTCAAAGGTTGAAGAAAATGTTAGGGTTTATGGGTCCCATTTTAAATTGCCAATTTTCACAAGTTTCCTCCATTTTCATGTCAATTTGATCATGGAGGGCTGTGAATTTTTTATATCTTGTAACCGTTTTATGATTGATTTTTGTTGGGTGCAGATGAAGATGAATCCAGTTATAGTGAAGAAGTTCAATCTAATTCAACTAGGGTTCGAAAGGATCTTTCTCAGTGGCAAGAGAGACACGCAGTTCTCATACTCTCAAGAGTAAAGGTTTGATTTCAATTGTGGTTTATGATGATGCTATTGTTCTTGCTACGTATGTTTAATTCAACTACTAAATAGTAAAACTAGTTTAGCCTTTAAAATCATATGTTTTTCTTTCGGCCTTTTTGCTAAGATCAAATGCAGTTTATGTTCTTATTAGTTTAATTACTTAATCTATAAAACCAAGTATAGTATTCATGTAACCCCCAAGGGTTGGTCTGTTGGTGAAGACTTGGGTCCTGAGTGTGCTCCTCTCAAGGTCCTAGGTTGAAATCTTGCTAGATGCTAACAATTCTTGCTCTCGCTTTAAATGCCCTCCATGTTAAACTAGACAGAACTAGTAGTGTAGGTGAAATGACTATACTTTTTAAGTAGTTCTAGCGGTTTGTTGACGGCCTTTGCATAGGACCTTGTGATAGGTCGGTCTAGACACAGAAGAGATCTTTTGTGGCCTATAGTTAAAACAAAAGATTAATCCTTGAACCAAATTGGGAGAATAGTTGGTTGATTTTCTGTTGAATAATTGACACCCATTTGAATTTTGTGCCTAAAACAAGAAGGGATCCTAATTGATAGGATAGGATATAGGCTAATCAAGGTAACATATCCCGATTTATAGGCAGATGATTTGAGGTTCCTATCAGCAATATAAGCCACACTAAGACAACTTATGGTAGTGGATGTTTTCACAAAAGGGTGGTGGGTTTTGAACTAGCTGTGTCTAACTTGCAGTGTTGTCAATGGCGGGGAGCCAAAATCCTGCCATACCTGCTGCTTTGAGGCGTTGTTATAGCAGATTATGGCAGAAAAAAAAACCCGCAATATCAGCCAATATTTACCACTACGGCAAGGCCAGAAACCACCATATATATCTGCCATAGCGCTGCCATGGCGGATATTTGAAAACACTGCTAACTTGGGAATGGAGAATATTTACTAGCTTTAGGAATGTATGTATTTACATTAACTTGAAACTAGTGTAAACTCCCCAAATCAAGGGGTCATAGTATTTATGTTAATATTAGAATTAGAGTAGTACTAGAACTATTATATATGCACTACTCATTCTTTGTGAAAGGATAGAATCAACGAGTTTTACTAAAAAATTTGCAAGCCTTAGTATGGGTAATTTAAAAAAAAAAGAAAAAGTGTAGGGGCAAGTACTATAGTATCCTTTGCAGTACTGTTCCTATCAATAAACTTGATATCAGTATTACCATAACCTCCAAAAACAAAAAACCCCAGTGGTCGTAACAGAATTGCTGTCTGACCATCATCTATGATGGCTCGCAGGCCCTAACCCCAAAAACCTCCAATCGGCTCTCCCATTGTTGACCTTTAAAGTCTCTCAGGTCTTACACATCATTCAACATGGATTTTGGATAGACTATGTGAGCCACATGTGCCGTCCCAACCTCCGGTTGACCTGATGCTTGTCCAAATATCTTCTTTGGTGTCTCCTCTATCCATTTTTTAGAGGTCAACAATCTAGTTTGCTCATCTTTTTAGTCACCTTCATCTCACCTCTATTTTTCAGATAGTCTCCTCCATATAATTCATCGTGTAATTCCTCGCTTACTAAGGGCCCAATGGGATACTTATATGGTATCGCAGCCCTATCGAGTGTTCAATAGTCCAACACAGGTGAAGTTTTATATAACAATGACGTATATGCTGTTCAATGTGGGATTGAATGATGAATTCAATGTTGTGTTGGACAATATTACCTGTGATTGGTATGGGCATGTGACTAACACAGGGCCAAACAGAAATAGAATAGAAATCACATGGTTTTTACTATATTAATATAAACACTATCCGACTATAGTTTTTTTTAGAGGAGTGGTATCATTGGTGTGCGTTGGCCGATTTGCATGTTCATTCAATTTTTTGGTATCTATCTTTTTTATTAACACCATAATTTGACTTCATTCTAAATAGTATTGTTACTTATAATCTTTCCAGGAAATTTCGCAACTGAGATATGTACTGTGTCCTCGCCATTTGAAGGACAACCAATTCTGGACAATATACTTTGCACTTGCCAGGAGCCATCTTGCCCCGTAAGTTTTACAACTTATTGCCATTGTTGTATGATCACAAAATAGTTATAACTCAAAATTGGCTGAAATTTTTGTTGGTTTTGGTAGATAGCTTTTGAAAATATTTATTTCTTTCCATTTTGTTTGTGCGGTCAATAACAATACTTACACCCCAAGACATATATGATATATGGACACCAAAACATAGAGTGGGAAAAAATGTATAAAGACATGCTTTGATAACATTTGACTCCCCCTCATTGTCAATCAGATACGAGCTACGTGCCATACAACAAGAGAAACTGAAACAGATGGCAACGGAAGAAGATAAATCTTCAGAGAACCACCCGTATGAAATTGAAATGGCAGAAGCAAAGAATGGGAACTCCATAAAGCCTTTGCCACCCCCATAGTAGGAAAGACACATGCAATAATTGGTCGTTTGAATATAACAGGTACTAAACTATCAGTTTCTTTGGTGATATAGGCACTATGTGACATTTGAAGCTTGACAATGCCTTCTTGAAGTTGATATTTTCATATTGTTTCTAAATTTTTTTGCTTCAATCTGCTCCTTTGTACATTGTTCTATTGATCTGTTCTTAATTATATAAATTTGCAGACAAACTTATCGTGTTTGATCTTTTCAAAATTCTTTATGCAATATTGAGAACTATACAAATTTTATTCATGAGTTATACAAACTATATGAATTCTCTCACGGTATTCATCCCTTAATCTCTTATTTGATAATAAAGCAATAGATATTAGAAATTGGTTCATCCGGGATCAAAATTCGTATGGATCAAAGTATATTCTTCCAACTCCAAACAAGATATGCAGATAAAACGAAAGAAGGATAAAGAGGCCACACACACGTGAAATTTCAAGCCAGTTAGAGTCATTATCTTGTGTCTCAGCGAATTACAGAAAGCCAAAAAACATGATGGTAATAGACGAAGTTAGATGCAAGGCCTAATAAAAAGCTACCAACAAATAAACACATCAAATAATACTTGAGATCATAACAAAGAAAGAAATATCTATACAATTTTCAGTTTTTATGCTTTTTAGCTTCCATGTTAGTCCCGTCCTTGAGAGTCTCCTGTGCATCATTTTCCATTCCAAGGCTAAAAAGGCAAGTTGCTTGAAGATACAAAGCAGTAGGCCACTCGGGAGACACCACTTGAGCTTGCATGGCATCCCCTAGAGCTTCCTGTGGCATGTCATTCATCAAATATGACAAGCAGCGCCTTGCATACACTGTAGGTGACACCATGGTCCCTCCATCTATGAACTGATGAAACAAAAAATAAAACTGAATGTTAAAAACTTGCTCTATTTGATAAGTATAACACATGAAAGATCATCACTCTTAGTTGTTAGATTAATTTAATAGCTAAGATTTTAAGCTATAAGGTCTGATGTATTGATTTATTTGAGCTTATATACTGACATAAACACTTGTGAGAATGTTTATAAGAACTTATGTAAACAGTTTATAACATACACATAAACACTTTAGAATAGCTTATATGAAAAAAGTTTGACTTCTTCTTTGCCTTTTTTTATGAAAATAATTTATGCACAATCACTTGTATGATAGCCGTTTATACTGTAAACGTTTAATTAAGTTGTTTATCAAAGCAGAATACTTAAAATCCTCTTACTTGTGTGTAGCAGTCAATGGCGGTGACGAAGTCCTTAGCTCTAAAAGCAGCATCTCCATGCTTCTTCAAATTCAAGGTCTCTTGCATTTGGCTAGTCCACAACTGAAAGGAAAGCTGCAGTTTCAACATTCAAACATTGGAGTTAGTAGCACAAAGTTAGAGAGAAAAGTGTGTAAAACAAAGTTGATATTCCTCTATTTCATTTTGTGTATTCAAGTTTAACAGGAAACCTCATTGGCAATTCCTTCATCATCCTTGTAGCCAGTTTTCTCTAATATTGCATGTATGGCAGTAAGATCCAATCTCAAACATGATTCACCAAATGATGTCAATGACAATGGTTTTGTTGATGTTGCTGTTTCATGCTGGAGACCCATCAGAACATGTGATGGAACCTGTTCATGTACTATCCAAATCAAATGAGAAATCATAATTTTCCTAAGATTGGTTAACACTTTTCACATTGCAAAGTATATTACTTTCTTCAATCCAATTTAGTGGCAAATATACCTCTATTTCTTTTTGAAGAGACATAAGAGTTTCAACAAGAGACTTTGCATTTGGTCTCTCGCGAGCTTCATATTGTAAACAACGAGAAGCCAAACGAACCAACTCAGTTCCATCGTCCTTTGAAAAGTGACCCTCTAATGCAGAGTCCATCAACATCAAATAGTTTTTTCCGCGTATCAGATCAAGTGCCTGCAAATGAACAAATGCGTTCTTATACAGTATTGATACTTTAGATCAAATGTGTGTTTAGTGTCTGATACATAAAGTTACATTCAATAACTTCTATTGTTTATATTATTACCGATGTTGCGTTTCAATGTTATTATTGAATGTGACGTCGGTGTCAATTCTTAATAGAGTACATTAGGCATTAATCACTATCATGAATTTATTCATGAGTAGAAAATGGAAAGAAAAACTTACATGGCTTGGTGGAATATGTTTACCACTCAAGAGATCAAGCAACAGAGTTCCAAAACTGTAAACCACACTCTCTGCTGTCACTCTACCTGCACATCAAATGTACAAAAGAGAAACATATGCAATCAGTTTATCAGAGCTATTGGATGAAGATCTGACGACTCACATTTCAAGTTTGTTTTTTAAATTTCATTCATCAAACTTAAAATGCGAATCGTACCTGTCCTTAAGTACTCGGGAGGCGTGAAAGCCAAGTTTGTACTGTAACTCTTGCCATCTCTGCTGTTCTTCATGAGTCCAAAGCAAGATAACCTGGGATTGCCATCCTGCAGATGCCATCCAAGTTACAAAAAGAAGTGATATAGTTTAAGGAAATAGAAGTGATGAAACAGTCTAACATGTGTTAGTGTCGTGTAGATATCAGACACCGATGAGTCAGACATCAGACATATCTTTAATATAAAGTGTCACTGCTGTATAGCTTATATACCTGATCAAACAAGACCCTATAGGCATTGAGATCATGATACAAACCCCTTCCTTTACTTGTGCAATACTCAAGAGCTTGAGCTAAATAGTAGGCTACCCTCAATCTCATTGCCCATTTCATAGGCTGTGCCTCCCCTACACAAAATTAAACATACATCACTTGTTTTTTCCATGTTCAATATTCAAATGTCAAAACCAATTTAATGAATTCTTAAACCTAACTAAGACTAAAACAAAGCTTATAGAAATCACAAAGAAAGAACTCACAATGAAAGAGATGCTTAGCCAGAGTTTCATGTGGCATAAACTCAGCCACCAGTAGCCTCTCATCCCCTTCATAGCAACAACCGATCAAATTCGCCAAACGTTCACTTCTAAGGCTTCCCACTTGTTTAGATTCTTCCTACATATCATAGTTTTAAATTGCAGTCTGCAACTATAGCTACGTTCATAATATAATAAAAATATAGCTTTAGAAGAATAATGAAATGAAAGTGAAAAGAAAACGAACAATGAATTGGCGAGAATCGGGCCAAGCGAACTTGTTGAAACGTTTGATGGCGATAAACTGTCCATTCTCAAGCTTCCCTTTGTAAACAACATTTGGAGCTTTCTCACCATGCTCAGAGACTATGTTGTCTGAGGAGAATCCATCTGTAGCAGCCTTCAATTCTTCCAAACTGTACTCACTAAAACTAGGCCACAAGTTCTTTTCACTCTTGCCACCATTTTCTACAATAAAGATAACATTTTTAAACCACAAAAAGAGTGTGTTACCACGCTATGAAAATTAGACACAATCACAGACATCAGACACGACTCTAAGATGTTGACACCACTAAAGATAACATTTTAAACCGCAAGATCAAATACAATCACAGGAACCTAACACGACTCTTACACGTTGACACCAGTAATGATTTCAAAATATAAACTAATTCAACGTACTCACATGTGTCAATGTCAGATAATAGTAACAGTTTCTATTAGAATTGTCGGTACTACATAGGTATCCTGTCTGTACTAAAAAAAACCAAAACAAACCTTGGTCCGAGGAATCAAGAACAGAAGGATTGAGGTGAGAGTGGAACCAACAGAAAGAGAATTTAGAGCAACGAGCCCCCATGAAGAAGAAGCAATTGAAAGATGAATGCCAAATGAAGAATGATCAGACAGTGTTCATTGTTGTGAGCCCATTTGGTCTATGAGCACTCTTATGTTTGTGCTATGTTTGTTTGAACATAAATGGAAAAAATGTTGGAAATTCAAAAGGTTACTAAGGTAAAAACTTTAGTATAGTGTAAAATTTCTTTCTGTTGTTCAATTTGTAAAGGGACTTTGCTGTTCTTAACTTTCTGGTTTCAGCTTTATGCTTTTTCACCTTTTCATCATTTTGCTTAACTTTTACTTAAGGAATTTTCAAATTATTATTAAGAGTTACTACTATCATAAATCTTCATTTTGTTGTGTGTGAAAGGAAATAAGTGATTCATATCAGGTAGAAGTAGGTATGATTTAAGAAACATCATAGGACTCACTTAGTTGACAATCATGTCATATACATGACTCTTAAGTACTAATAACTCTGGTTAATAATTTCTGTGTTGAATCTGTCCATACTGAGTCTTTGTTATGGCTTTAACTGGACTTTTGCTAGTTGACCGTAGGATTAGTCGGTTATAGTTAGAGTCGTTTTTTAGAGTATGCAAGACGATCTACAGTCCAGAACCTCACACTTTTTCACGATTAAGCTATGGAAAAATGAGCCACCATACACGTAATTCACAACTAATTTACAGTTAAATAGGAACCCTTAAAAAAATTCTAGTACTCAACTGAAATTAACTACACTACAAAAAATGAAGGAGTCCTTAAAGTAAGAGGGGTGTGATGATTTATACCACCCATAAGGGGATAAAAAAGGACCCTTAAATAGGGAAAGGAGAAAGCATGTAATAAAGAAAAGTGGTAGTTAGTTGCATTTGAAGACATGCTTCAATGATGTATGTATCAACCTTATCATTGCACTCATCTTTTGTCTCCTTACATTGACTAAACTTTAATTTCCAGCTTGAATTGCGCTTTGTTAGAGGTTGAAACTTTATCTTTTTTAGTCATTTACTTATTTATTGCAAAAAGTCTACTTTTTCATTCAAATTGAAACTCTAACTCATACTTGATCACATGCTTGAGAGAAATCATATATGAAATTGAGACACTTTGCTTTTTAGTGTGACAATAGAAAGGCCACACCCACATGCATACTTAGGTGTAATAGCAAAATTTTGAAAACACTAATAGAAATTTGCGCAGAATTGTTCCGTTTGAGGTCCTAAAGATAATCTACGTGGAAATTGTTCCGTTTGAAGTCTTAAAGATGAGGAATTTTTTCGAGGACGAAAATAGAGAATAAAATCCCTTCGAAAAAATAATTTTTTTTTAATATAACATGTTTTTTCAATTAAATTACCAAATAAAATAATAATTCAAAAAAATTACAAAAATGACCGGGTTTTCTAAGAGGATTCGCCATATGAAATGGATACTCAAGTCTTCCAGACCTGATTTGCCATTTCATATGGCGCATGGGTTCAGGGTGTCCTACATTGAATTGTCATACCATATGGCGCATCTCATGTAGGTTTTTTTTTTTAATTTTTTTTTTAAATTTTTTATATTTGTTTTAAAAATTGATATTTGATATTTTTAAAACATAATAAATATAATTCATGATATTTGATATTTTTGATATTTTAAAATTTTTGATTTTTGATATTTGTTTAAACCCTACATTGTTAATTTTTTATATTTGATATTTGTTGAAAAAAATATATAATTCTAAAAAATAATAAATTTTGTAAGGGTGTTTAAGACATATCATATATGGTCCGTACTATTTTATTTTTCTATAAATAAGACTGCGCACTCATATAGTTTTTCACAATAATGTTTACCAATAGACTTAAGTCTTCATAAATTTGAATTCAGTCTAGAATGTATGCATTTCTAAATCAACGTTCATCGTCGTTGTCATCGCCATCGGAGAAACTGTTTCCAACATTTCCTCTAATGAAAAGAAACACCCTAGTTTTTTTTCCAGCAACAAAGCCTCCGATGAAGGTGCTACTGTGGAACACGCAGACTTTGGAGCATTTGCATAGGGAACTGAACCGCTGGTTAGAAGGAGATATTGTTGCAGGTGAAAATATTAGGAAAATTGAGAGGTTGGTTGAGGAGTCAGGGAGAAATGGAGTTACTCGTGATTGGAAAAAAGTGAAAAATGATGCTGGTGTCCTTGTGATGATGTTAACACCAAAGAAGATGACGTTGATGGTTATGATATCCTAGATAACTTGATGCATTATTCTATTTTATGTGGGTTTGTTGTTGTTATTTTTGGAATGTTGTTGTGATATTAAGTTATGTTTGTTTAATTTATGTTGCTTGTTAATTGTAATCGCTTAACTATGCTTTAAATGGAATGAAATTTGTTGTTGATTTAAAGGGACACGGTTACATTAGAAACTATGATCTTGTGCTTGATCCTACATTGGGACATTTTGTATGATTGTGTCTTGGTTGCCGACACGAACTACATAATCTGACCATTTTGTTTTCTGCATCCATCTCCGTTCGAATGCGCGTGCTATTAGGGCGACCCTTTTTCTTTCTTCGCATCAATTCATTATGCCAGACAATTTTGCCTTCGTATGGAGGCCAATAGTCCTCCTTTTCTACCACTTGAAAGCTACATGTGTAGACATTGCATAGACTTATCACTTGGTGAACAGCAGAAAGATAGTTGGTTGGGTCCTAGCGCGTCTTCAAACATGCTGCTATAACATGAGAGCAAGGCATATGAAATGCCTGAAACTTTCCACAGTCACACTAACTCCTATCCAGTTCCACTCGGTAACATCCCCTAGGTCTTCCTTCATTGTGATCAATTGACTCGGCAACACTGAACCAACCTTTATTACGGTCAAAGATTGTGACCACATGTGTGTTGGCTTTGGCAGCCTCGTCTTTCATAAATTTTATTTAACTATTACTGTACAGCTGACCAGATTTTAATACTGAACCCTACTTTGTACGTCTATTATCAAAGAGTGCCCCGAGCCTAAAATATGCTGCCTTTACCAAGACAGTTATCGGTAGGTTTCAGATTCCCTTGAAAACAGAGTTCATTGATTCAACGAGGTTAATTGTCATATGACCCCATCGCACCCCATTGTCGTATGTCCGTGTCCATTTCTCTTTATAAATCCATATTAATGCATCTGTGTTTGTCAGTCAGATCTTGTCACAGTAGTGTTTGAATGTGAGCTCTGTTAGTGCATATCCTGCGTTCACAACCTTCTTCCTTAGTGTTTTGTCTTTGATTTCCCGCATGAAATTTTAGGCGATATGTCTTATGCAATGCACATGGGTCGATGAAGAATCCTGTCAACCGTTATCAAGGTTCTTGTATGCACTCTTGATTGATGGGTGTCTATTAGAGATCAAACATAAGTTAGGTTAGGGAGAAACATAAAATCGGAGATTTTTTAGGAAAAAACTCCAACCCCCAGTAGTCTCCCTTTCAACTAGAGCGAAGGCTATTGAAAAAATGTTGTTGTTCCCGTCCTGTGCCACAACCATGAGTAGCGTGCCCTTATATTTCCCGTACAACCATGTGCCATCAACTTAAATTATAGGTTTACAATAAGCAAAGCCTTTGATACATGGTTCGAACGCCTAGAAGAGTCTGTGAAAAATGCCATTTTGACTAACCCGAGTCTCGTCTGGTGTATATGCTGGCATTGTCTCCAATATGACAACAGTCCCTGGAGAATATTGTTTAAGAGCCACCAAGAATTTTGGAAGTTCTTTGTAAGACTCCTCCCAATTTCCAAACACCCTTTCAACCGCTTTAGTCCTAGCTATCCATGCTTTCCGGTACGAAGGAGTGTAATTGCACCTTTGAACCATATGTGAAATTATGGTACTCACCTTCAAAGAAGGCTTGTCGCTAATGACCGATAGAATCTCACTGCAAATCAATTGAGAGTTGAGCTTGCGATGATCCTGCATCGGATTCGTGATTATACTAGTGTGGGCTAGACCCATTGACCCTATCTTCCATGAATCACTTCTCTTCCAGAAAGACGCTGTTAATCAGAACAAACACACCTTGTTACGACGATAGATTTTATACAAAGTCGAATTTGTTCGATCGACTATATAATCTGCTGATAAGTCCATATGCTATTGTTTAATTGCTCGGACACAATCTTCTTTTGTATGAAAGTCGTCACCCTCTTTTAATAGTCCTTTTGTTGCATAGTTAGGGTTGTAAAAAATATCTGTTGAGGGTTCATCGTCACCTAAGTCGAGAGTTGTCATGTGTTGAGGTGGGCAATAAATATGACTGGGTGGAACCCCCTCTTCCTCGTTGTTTACCATGTCGTCAACAATGACTTCAGCTACTTCTTCTTCTTCTTCATCAATGGCATCGACTTCAGCGTGTTCCTCATCAGATTCATAAAAAACTTGAGAAGAATCAAGTTGTTGAGATAATTGTTGTTGTTGTAACGTAACATATAGCACAATATCTGAGAAACCGGAATACTCGTGACTGCAGAATATGTTACGCACATCTTCATAGTCTCGAATCTTTAATGGGAAAATTTTGCATTGATCGTGCCCGCCAAAGAACACAGGATTCTTGTAGATTATTTGGTCAACTGGACCACACTGTAATTTCTTTTCTAATCTCGACTTCAAGTGTAAAAAATTTGACCTTCTGTCAATCAAAAATCTAGTAACATCAGTATTTCGAAAATTGAAACCGGCTAAGTTACATTCAAAAACCTCACCGTTTAAATGTGCACTAATCATGTATTGTGGTGTTTGATCCATAGCTAAATTTTAGTAAACTTGTGTTTGAATGGATTGTTTAACTAATTGATATGATAATAAATCAACTATCTCTACTGTATTAATAGCAATAAAATGTTGCTTTTTATTATTAGATCTGCAAGTTGAGCTGCATGACAAGACTAAACCCTGTGTGCCTACAAGGTGAGTTGCATGACAAGACTAAGCCCTGCGTGCCTACCGTCTCCCCTCTGATTCTATGCATGCCTACACGATTCTCTGTATGGCTACACTCTACACTCTACGTGCCTACCGTCTGCACTCTGCATGCCTACCGTCTGCACTTTGATTCTATGCATGCCTACAAGATTCTTACCATGTCTACACTCTATACTCTGCATGCCCACCATTTACACTCTACATGCCTACCGTCTACACTCTGATTCTATGCATGCCTACAAGATTCTTACTGATAAATGTATACACATGGCTACATTATTAGTCTCGCAAGATGCTGCATACTTGTAAGACTACACCTTCATATCTCCAAGACTATCTGAATTCCAATGACACTTGCACGCTTGTAAGACTACACTTGCACGCTTCCTTTCACTCATGTCATAAAATTTAAGCATGCATGCTTGACAACACTATACTTTAGCATAAGATATATTTTCACAATACTCTGCATGCATGACAACACTACACTAATATTTTTTACTTCACATGCATGATAAGACTACACTTGCACGCTTCCTTTCACCCGTCATAAAAATTCAGCATGCATGCTTAACAACACTACACTCTAGCATAAGATATATTTTCGCAACACTCTGCATGCATAACAACACTACACTACAATAGTATCATGTTAAATGGGGAATCCACCGAGTATGAGAAGATACTTAAAATTCGGTGCTATATTATGATATTGTTTGGCCATTTTTTATTTCCAGACAGTACTGAAAATACTGTAAATATTATGTATTTACCGTTGTTGCACAATATTAATAAAATGTGCACATATAGTTTGGGTTCAGCTGTCCTCGCCTATCTATATAGTGCATTATGTAAAAATGTAAAAAACAATTCTTGTACTTTTTATGGCTGCGCTTATCTCTTTCAAGCGTGGGGTTGGTCTAGGATACCAACACTTGCTCCAGTCAACCGCAATCTATTCACATTCCCATACGCTAACAAGTAAGTTTATTTTCAAGACGAGTTTACAACCGAAGTTTCTTTGTAACTTAATTATTTGTACAATGTTTCTTAGTATCTAATTTATTTGTGTTTCTTTTTTTTAGGTGGTCTGTTCCGGGAATGAATTAGCAAAGATGTCCCAGGAACTCCATAGTTGTGTACCGCAACCTTATTGAACACATTGGGCGAGATGATGTAATTTATCTACCATTACTTTGTCTAATTGATAAACACATACTTGTATTTCTCATTGCGTATATTGCTAATGTAGTTTGTCTGGATGTCGTACGAGGGTCTCGACCACCAGCCCAATGCCAATGATGTTGCCGTGTGGACATCTAAAACACCTATCATTCAGTTTAATGCAGTGGAGATGCACCAAAGTGACCGGGTGAAACTACAGTTTGGAATGCATCAGGATATTCCAGATGCTCCGACGTCATTGGAACACTGGCATCAGCTAAGGGTGGATACACAATGGAGTGTAAATCATTGGAAGGACTTTGCTAAAGATATGTGTCTGTATTGGAAGAACCGACATCAACACATATTAACTGACCCTATTGTGGAAGGGGCTAGACCAAGATATCAATATATGATTTGGTTTAGGTCGGTTACAACCTCACAATCATTTGTGTATGAGCCTACATATTTGATTGGCCTGAGACAACGTGCGTCTTCGTCGAATCCACAACAACAACCCAATGCCCAACATCAAACACCATGTTATACCCAACATCCAACTATGCCCACCCAATCAATCTTCCAAAACTGCAACCCATACATGTCACCAACCCAGTCACAATAACAAGAGCCTTACCCCTACCGTCAGCCTTTTGAAACTGACACCACTTCTGCATATAGCCCTGATACATCTTTTGATCCTACCCCATCCACTTATAGCCCAGATAACTCTTTTGACCCCACACCAGACAAACAATCTTCCTACCAACAAAATACATATCCACTTTTTGACTACCAAACCCCACAACAACCAATACATCATTTTCAAACTGATTTGATGTACCAATTCGAACAACCATACCATCCACACCACATCCAACTTCCCCGACAAAACAACGAAAACATGGACAACAAACTTAATTATGGAAGCGTCGTTGACAGCGGCCAACCCGACTTTTGGGGTCAAATGCTTCAAAATTTATCTGATACACCGGGGACATCTCAACAAATACTTCTTCCACAAGTAAACACACAAAGACCAGATACACCTCAACAACCTCGTGGTAGACCTCGACGCCGCACACATCCTCCACAATATGGTACCGGTGATCGTTTAGATAGAGTCGTCCATTAATTTTCTTTTTTCATCTGTTGTAATTTATATTATATTATAAATTACTATAATTTACTATTTCTTACATTTATATATTTTTTAATTTATTAAAAATAACAAATTTTATTATTTTTTTAATTAAACGTGAACATAACTAAATATTACATATTTAATATTAATTAAAAGTGGTAAAATATAACAAATATCATAGATTAAAAAAAATATTAGAGTTATATTTTTCAAAATATTAAAAAAATATAACAAATAATTTAATAAGGTTTTTAAAACAAATATAAAAAAATTATTAAAAAAACCTACATGAGATGCATCATCCCATATGGCGACTCAATGTAGGGTTTTAGGGCACCCATTGAACCCACGCGCCATATGAAATGGCGAATCAGGTCTGGGAGACTTGAGTAGCCATTTCATATGGCGAATCCTCTTAGAAACCCAGTCATTTATGTAATTTTTTTTGAAATAATCATTTATTTGAAAATTTAAAAAAAAATCATGTTATTTTAAAAAAAATTCTCGAAAAAACTTCTAAAACGAGGACGGCAAACATATTCCTGTCCCACAAAATTTCAACTAAAATACCATAATAACTGTTCTGGCATGGGCCCCGGCTTGACCGAGCAGGCCCAGCCTAGTAATGTGTAGTAGGTCCAATCTGGCTTGGGCTACTGCCGTCGAGCACAAGGTCTCCGTCGGGCAAAGAATATCCCTCTGTAGGCAGAACCTCCTCCCTTGTCGAGCAAATCAACGTGTCCTTCACACTTCTCCACGTGCTCCCCTCTGCGGGGACACGTCATCAACCAACTGCCCACCTCCGAAAGAGTAAGTCAACCCACTCTCCGGAGTTCACGGAGCAGTTGAACTAGGGCGAAGACCACGTTCTGGTCTTCACTACGCCACATAAGCCCTAGCAGTCACTTGGGTTGGGCCTGACCATCCAGCCTAACTCAAATGACAGTTGGCCCTGCACTAGGGTCTCTCTATAAATATCCTATTTCACAAGAAGGTCAGGTATTCTCTTCTTATCCTCTTTCTGTATTTTCTCTCACTCCGCCCAATTCCTTACTTTGGCATCGGAGTGTCTTGCAGGTACACCCCCATCTCCTTTTCAACACCGGTGAGCAGACAGCAGATCAACGGCGTGTGGCAAGTCTTTGGTCCCCTTATGATCAGGTCAGATCAATTAATATATTTTAAATTTACATGTAATATTTACGGTTGACTATAGTAAGTGTGAGTAGTATGAATAATAATTTTACATTGGTTAAAATGTGGAGACTTGAGCGATTATAAGTGAGAGAACTAATACACCTATCACCTTAATTTTGAGTGAATATATAGCGTGTCTCTCACAAAAATGTTGCTAAAAAAAAATCTCAATACTTCTCTTTTATATTCTTTATAAATTTAAAAAGTTAGCAGTAATAATTCTTTATAAATATTGTAAAGAAATAAAGCAATAGTTTTATTATAGATGAAGCCATATGGAAAGGCTCAAAAGAGTGTAGATAACTAACTAAGCTACAATAATTATATTATATTTTAAGGCTTACATATTCAAAATAATTATACTCCCAAATGTGTTAATGGTGCTACTATTGACTCCTTGGAAGGAATAATGTTGATTGCTTCATATGAGACTACATATATACATTTGCATGGCCACATGCTACAATACCAAATGTTCATGGCTGATGGATAACAAGTGCTTGAAAAGTTAGTTGAGGGCCACAAACATGTGTAAAGGAGATTATGCATGTGTTGTGCTTACTAATATGAACTACGTAAATCATAGTATACTTCAACAGAGAAAAAAAATGGCATAGGACAATCATCATAACATTGTTATGTGTAAGAAAGCACATGCATGGTCAAAACATCATGTGCTAGCTCATGTTACTTTGCCACCATCTCAAATCACCTGTTTTAAAAATCGAATCAAACGAGTCAATTATTTAAAACAGAATAGAAGACTCATCATTTCAAAGAAATTGAGCCTCTAAAAACCAGTAATGAGCTCAACCTTAAACCACTTTTTTGGAAAGAAATAAGTGCTTAAGTGTTGTTGCATACTTGCATTTACCTTTAACCTCTTCTTTACATTTTATGCTTCCTATATTACACAATGCTAAGCACTAGGTTACCATGTAATGCAAGAAGATTATAAAACCAGCCAAAAAAAGAAGCTATGAACATGTTCTCAACATTGATAAGAGGAATTGGTAGGGCTGCACAATGTTGAAAAAGCAGAACCTAGATTTAACTTTCACTACTACAATTATTGGTACTGGTTTGACTTCTGATTTGAGAAGCTACAAGATCTTCTAATCCAGCAGCAATATTGCAGTAGATCCAATTTTGTACAGTGGAGGCGATTCGGTCCTTTATCTATGCACCGTTCATGGAAGAGTCGGTATGGTGTGTATTACCGTCATCAGTGATCTTGCCGTTTATTTGAGATCTTTGTCTCTGAGCAAGTGTAAAAAAATTCACGTCAAGTCTAGACTGTCACAGCTATAATATAAAAGTAACAAGAAAAGGGTAAGGACATTTGCCATACTCGATCCGCAGGGTCGCCGGAATTTCCATTCATTAGCTTGTAGTTCTCCTCTTTGTTCCTACCGTCTTTGTCTTTGGTGCTCAATGGCAACAGGGTTGCTGAAGCTGCGATCGACCGGTCCGGCAATTCTGCAAATAATAAAATCAGAACAACAGCAATGGCAACAGTAAACCAAAAAAAGTATATATTAATACCGGAAACTACCGAATACAATAGAAAAAGCGGACAGACAGGCAAGTTAGTACCGTTTTATAGATAATATTAATATGTATGTACAGATGAGCAAACCTGGCAATTTCTTGTCAACAAAAAATACCACCAAATTTACGGTGTACCTGCAAGCGAAGGACCGGAAAATGAAATGATTATTCAATAGGGGGACAAATGGCGGTTTTTCGATCACGGTGCAGGAAAAGGCTCCTTACCAGGCAACAACTACATCAACCGTGTAATGTTTGCGAGATGCTACTATCAAAAGACTCTGAATCACGGCAAGCAGCCACGCGAGCTGCTTTATGGATCTATAGGTTCATCCACGGTCACAATAAATCAGATCAAAATTTTAAGCGTGACAAAATATATGACAGCGACGACATGTTTTGAAATGAACAATGAAGTAACCTTCGGGTTCCATATTTCTGATATGTGCGCACAAAAGTAAGAGTGAAGATCATGTGTGACGAAAATATTAAATCACCGCATCCATATAACACGCCATGAGGAACTGCGTATTAAAATAAAAGTGTTCAAACCACCAAAAGGAATCAAGGCTAAAACAACTCTAATTCAGTAATGTATACTAACAGTTAATCACGAGAACTTCGAGAATGTTATCTGGACGAGGCAATGTGGCAAGTTTAGAACCCTGTTCGGTACATTACTAGTGTAAAGTTAAAAGAATCTAACAAAATTAATAGAAGTGACATTTGAAACACGTCATGCAATATTATGTCTTACGAATGCTTATATCAACCAATCATACCTCGCGGCAGTGGTAGTTTGGACCGGGAAGTTGTGTAGAATAAAATGTAATTATGCGAAGAATTTGAGAAGCCTGCAGTGAACATACAAATGATCAGCACTCATCTATTTAACTTAAAAATCGCAAAAAGATTAAAGAATACTTAAATGAAAGTGACATGATGTGTGTGATCGACACTTACGAATAAGAATGCTAGAACCCTGCACCAGATAAGAACTGTGTAAATCTTTCGGCTTTTCAATATGAAAGGATGAAACGTCCACTGCAAAAGCACACATCAAAGAAAAACAATTTAATTTCGAAAAACAATTGTCACGACTCTTTTAAAAATCAAAACTTTTCAATGTCGCTGAAGATTGTACTTATAATAATTTTATATGTAATAAACAAATACAGAATAACAGGATTATGGATAATATATGAACACTGAGACACCGAATTCTTACCAAGGCAAAGGATATAAAGATTGTGGTGAACAATGTTTCGCTGATGTAAGCTTTGTCTTGCCCGAGCTCCTGCAGAAACATCGAGGTTAGAAATGACAAAGGTGTTTGTTTCATTCTATTTAACGGTGGGAAAGAAAAAGAAGAGAATGACAGTTACAAACCGGAAGAAGGAAGAATCCAACATCTTGCAGAATAGGGCCGGGCTTATGAAAATAATGAACTCCTCGGGCCGCCAAACCATGTATGTACTAAATAGGGAAAGTATGGTTATCAAATTGAGATTCAAATCATGAATTGATGACCATTTTCCGAAATGTTAATTGAATCACATTATAAGTAAAAACAAGTGACATATGAAACTCAAAACGATTCAAAATTCGAGTCATAAATCAAATGACAAAAGAAAGTGACTCGCAGTTTAGGTAGTGATTTGTCAGAATGAATTACAATTTATATTAATGAATCTGTTGACCACAATGAACCAGGATTCAAGTCGGGATTCATGTCCACAATTGATACACGCTAGAGATTTGCGTTTATCAGGTTCGGTTTTGTATCGAACCAAGATACGACTCACATGTATTGTAAAAGTCCTCCAATCAGGGGAATGAGCCATTTGATCATCTTCGGAGACTACAAGGTCCACACAAAATTGAGAGTAATTTTTGTATTTAAGATGGAACGAATAATTGGAAAGTCAAACCAAAACCATTCATCACCAACTCACTATAGATGCAGTGTAGAATATAGCAAACTATCCTTCAAACCAGTTACAACTTCCTTTGATTCTCTCATTAAACAAAACACCAATGAATCAATCAACCCTGATACCCAACACAATTGCTCATAAGATTAAGTTCGGCGATTAAAGCTTAGGTGAGTTTGGTCCTTTTGGCTCACCAGGACTCGGGCAGGACTCAGCGTTTAAAGTCTAACATAAAGAGCTCTGTAGCACCAACACCGCGTCCATTTTGAACACCGACACTTATAATTACATTAAATTTATTCATTTTTTTTTCAAATTATTGTCTGTATCAACATATCGGTGTCAGTGTCAGGTGTCGGTGCTTCATAGATAAAGAGTCCATGTATTCACTCTACAAGTAATCAATCAGAAAACGTTTTTCTCTAACCAAACATGTCCTTTTTTCCCAACAACCACAAAACCATTTTCAGAAATTCTCAACTCAATATCAAAAGAAAACATAAAGAGCCTTTTCATTCTTCACACCAAAGGAACATAGACAAAAAAAAAACCTGACAAACAAGACCAGCTAGAAGATACTTCCAATTCTCAGCAAGAAGGTTGATCTCAACAGTTGTCTCTGAGCAAATTCTCTTCCATAACTACACAAAGTCATATCAAAACACCAAACATAAATAAAAAATAAAAAAAAACAATAATAAAAATCACCAAAGAAAAAACCTTTGAAGCCTCTCGACCAATGTAAAACGACATGTTATTATTGTTCTTGTTGACGATGTTGTTGTTGTTGTTGGATTATGAGAAGTTCCATATTAGTTCAAAAGTAACAAGAGTGATGAATTCAGCATAATTGTGCAAATTGTGAGAAACCCAGTATTAAAAAACGAAACTTTATGGAAAATAAACAAGACCCAGTAAGAGAAACGCAATAGGGTATTCGAATCTGAATCAGAAAAAAAAGATCTGAGTGATCACAGAAAGAACCGATCACAGCACTAGAGTCCAATGTGAAAAGGGGCTTAATAGTCAAAAGGGTTTTTCTCTCTCTAGAATTTTCAATAATTCTTTCTCTCTCTAAGAGTGATTGTTGTGTTTGTTGGAGTGAGTTTTGTGACTGTTATGAACGCGAAATGAACGCGGCGAGGACGGTTAAGAAAGGTTCACTTGTAAAACAAGTTTTTTATTTATTTATTGGAAAATGAATTGTTTCTTTTCCAAATTTTGGTTTTTATGAATTTGATAAATTAGGTTTAGCACTTTCTTTTTGAAAAATAATTTTGACTCTTCTTTATTATCTATTAAAGTGAAGATAGTTTTAAAAGAATGAATAATATTTGTTTAGTCAAAAAAAAAAAAGAATTTTATATTTCATGTGAAAATTAAAACATAAATTAAATGTTTGAAAAGTTTTACTTTTAATTAAAAATATTTATTTGTGAAAATATGAAATTTTAAAATATTTTTATAAAAAAAATTGATTTATAAATATTACTAATTTATTTATATTAATATATAAATATAAATAAATATTACGTTACTTTCATCAATTTAACTCAAATAACACTTCTTCTCGAATTTCAAGATTAGAAAACAAAATTTTTCTACAAGAGTAAAATGATATTATTCTTTGTAAATAATATTTTTATTAAAAGAGATTAAAAATAATGCATTGTAATTATAAAATAATTTTATATTATTATTTAATAGAAATTTATTAATCAGTCATGTTACACATTAACTTAAAAATATTAGGATGACTTAACAAATATATATAGTGATGACTGATTGACAATATAAATACATATTTTTTTTATATTAAAATTAATCATATTTAAAATAGTTCAAATACTTAATATTAATATCTTATAATTGTTTATTATCAAAAATAAAATTTTATAATTAAAATTTTGAATATTAATTGAGACATTGATATTTCCTGCAACTAGAGGGGAGGTGCCAAGTGTGATGGTCCCCACATGTTTCAAGATTTTTTATAATTTTCTTTTATAAACAACGTTTTATTATATTATTCCCTTTATACTTTTTACTTTATATTAGTTAATTAAATAACCTATTCAATGTTTTGTGTTTGTCCTTACATTCTTTATTTCAAAATAATAATACTTTTTTTTTTTATAAGAAATCAGTTTTTAGGTTCATTTTGTTGAATTAAAGTAATATTTAAGAAAAAGGTAATAATGAATCATTTTTAACAGAAAGTGAGAGTGACTTATAGAATATTCCATATTCTTTATGTCGACGATGTTTACAAATTTAATTTATCGTTCAAATAAAATTGTTTTAAAATTAAATATTCACTTGCAAATATAAAAAAAAATATTGATTATAAATATGTACAAATAATTCAATTTAAATAGTGGACAATATCAATTCTTTGTCAACAAAAGCAACAGCCACATAAAGAATTGGCACATAAATGATTTTAAAGATTGTCAAAATTTATAATTTTTATTCTAAAGAATTATCACAAGAATATATATATATATATATATATATATATATATATATATATATATATATATATATATATATATATATATATATATATATATATATATATATATATATATATATATATATATATATATATATATATATATATATATATATATATAAAATTTAAAATGAATTTATGAATTTAAATTTTTCCAAAGAATTTAGAAAAAATAATTTGATATTTAAAATAAATATTACAATATATTACCTACCACATTATTATTTTTTATGCGAAAACGAAGTAACAACAATTATTATAACTTTAATGGTATAATCAAAAAATTCAATTAAAAAAAAAACCTCTTTTGTTTCTTAAATTAAAAAAAAAATCACTAAATTTAATTTTATATATTTAAAGTTTTGACAACCATCATTATTTAACGAGCATAAACTTTAATGGTATATGTAGGGCTGGAAATGAGTCGAGTCGAGTCGAACTCACCTCAGCTCGGCTCGACTCGTTAAGAATTGTTCGAATTCGAGTTCGAGTTCGAGTTTGACACGAACTTTTTTTTAAGCTCAAACTCGACTCGTTATAAGTTCACGAACAGTTCGGTTCGACTCGTTAGGTTCATCTCATTAGGTTCAGCTCATATGGTTCACGAACTTAAAAACTATTTTTTTAAATATATATATTTTTTAGTATATTTGACATTTTAAATAAATATATATCTTTTAAATAAAATATTAAAATAAAATAAAAGTTATCATATTGAAATTTAACTTTATCTTCGAAATCTACTAATTCAAAACCTACACAACTTTCAAGAGATACATTTGAGAGTCTAATTCAAAAACTACTAAATTGAAGATTAAATTTGTCTAAGATTTGAAGTAAATATTTAAACCTAATCTTAAAGACAGTATAATTATTTTCATATGTAATCGAGTTGACTCATGAACCTAACGAGTTGAACTATGTATAGTTCAAGTTCAGCTCATTTAGTTAACGAACTTAATTTTTCGCTCATACTCAACTCATTTGGTTCATGAACCTAGTTCAACGATTTAATTGTCGAGTCGAATTCCGAACTATCTTCGAGTTGGTTTGGTTCATTGCCAGCCCTAGGTATATGAAAAATTTATCAAGTCATTTTTATTTTGAATACCATTGTCTTTATATTATGTATTATTATTTTTTATCAAAGTTGTAATTTTAGTATATTTTAAAAATTGTATAAAATAGATTAGTAATCTAATTATAATTTTAGATCATATTAAAAATCTTAAAGAATATATTACACATCTCATGTAGAGTTAAAAATGGTATAATTTTAAAAAGAAAAAAAAATTGTTTTTCTTCCTATTATCCTATAAAGATTCTTCAAAAAATATATATGATGACCACAAAGAAAAATATAGCATGTGAGATTTTGGGTCAAATTCTATCTCTGTCGAAAAATAACTATATGTGTTTTGACAGGAGACAAACATGAAGTCAAAGTTGGGTTGCATGTTGTAGTCAAAAGATACATATTATAGTATGTAATGTTGAAATACATATTGTTGACTTATTATGTCAAATTGGACTTTGTGTTAAGGAACCAATTATTTAGTTAGTTTGTATTGTAAGTTAGATAGTTAGCCTATAAATAGGTTAGATCGCCCAGGTTGTTGAGTAAGGCAAATTGTTATTCATTTGTAATCATTTGTAAATCCTAAATGAGAAAGTGAATAGTAAACAATTTGTCGTAATCCTTCTTCTTCTTTCTTCTTTATCCTTTTTTCGTTCTCTTTTTGTTCTAACTGTTTCATTGTTCACCTAAGAACTCTGTTTCTCAATCTTTATTTGTTGAAATGTATCGTTTATGATCACAACAAACTGGTGCGCTGAGCGTGGAGAAGATGCCATCAACAAAGTTTAGAATTGAGAAGTTCACTGGAGTTAATGACTTCGGTTTATGGCGTTTGAAGATGCGAGCCTTTATTGTTCAATAGGGTTTGCTAGAAGCGTTAAAGGGAAAATATGATATGGATGCTGCATTGTCGGAGAAGGAAAAGACAACGATGATCGAGAAAGCCCACAATGCAATTGTTTTGAGTCTTGGTGATAAGGTTCTCAGGCAGGTTTCGAAGGAGACGACGGCAGGTGATGTTTGGTTGAAACTCGAAGGGTTGTATATGACAAAGTCCTTGGTGAATCGTTTGTACTTGAAGTAAGCTTTGTATTCATTCAAGATGAATGAAGATAAAGCGTTGACGGAGCAGCTGGATACGTTCAGCATGCTGATTCTTGATCTTGAAAATATTGATGTTACGATCAATGATGAAGATCAAACATTGTTATTGTTGTGTTCTTTACCTAAGTCACATGCTCACTTCAAAGAAACCCTCTTATATGGAAGAGAGTCCCTGACCTTTGAAGAAGTTCAAGCAGCCTTGTATTCAAAGGATTTGAATGAAAGAAAGAAGTAGAAACCATCATCATCAGTTGGAGAAGGGTTGTCCGTGAAAGGGAAATCCTCGAAGAGAGATGGTAGGTTTGAGAAGAAGAAAGGTAAAACTTAGTATAAGTCTTATCATGGTGATATTTCTGGGATTAAGTGTTATTACTGTAAGTAGGAGGGTCACACAAGAAAGATGTGTCCTGAGTGCCTGAATAATCATGGAGGTAAGGACAATAGCAATGCAGCTATTGTGCAAGATGATTATGAATCATCTGATGTCATTGTGGTGTCGAGTAGCAATTCTTGCAAAGAGTGAATTATGGATTCTGGATGTACTTGGCATATGACTCTAAACAAGATTGTGTTTGAAGAATTATGTGATCAAGATGGTGGATCAATGTTGTTGAGAAACAATAAAGCTTGCAAGATTGCAAGTATTGAATCTGTAACATTCAAAATCCATCATCAGTCAATAAGGCTATTGAATGGGGGTTAGGTATGTACCCGACCTTAAGAGGAATTTAATTTCTCTTGGTGAATTCGACAAGAAAGTGTATGTCTTCAAAGGAGAGCAAGGTATCCTGAAAGTCATTAATGGCTCGAAGGAAGTCTTGAGAGGCGTGAAGAAACAAAGCTTGTATACCCTTGAGGCTTAGGTTGTAAGTGGTTCAACAAATTTTGCATCCATGAAACCGGTGTCGAAGACAAAATTATGACACATGAGATTGGACCATGTCAGCGAAAGAGGCTTGGTCGAACTGGGGGAATAAAATCTACTAGGTGGTGACAAATTCGAGAAGTTGGAGTTTTGTGAACCTTGTGTATTTGGAAAATCCTTTAGGGTAAAGT